CCTAGCTATTCCTGAAAAATATACTTAACTTCTTGGGAACAGTTACCTCAGCTAGAAAAGGGAAAATATTGTGCATTAAAATAGATTGAAAGTGTATTTTGACCACAATTAGTGGCCAAAATAGGGCATCCGTTATTATTAGTACTATTCTTGTACTTTCACACTTAGAATATTGTTGTAACTATAAATGTTTTCAAATTCCTTAAAAGTATTGCCTTTAATAAGTATCACAGAGAATGAAAGCTTATACAGAAAGGACATTAGTTTACCTAATCATCTGATTATTACTCCATTCTAAGGAAGTTTCAAAATCAAGTGAAAATCAGAGCAAATAAATGGTACCCTGTGATTATGCACATTAAATGTAGTTAGAATGTGTATACCATCCTCTGCAACAAGTTTAACTTTGTCATTTTATTATTAAACTCCCACTTATGCAACACAGGTTTATGTGACTGTATTTTTGGACCATCACCTCCAGCATCACAGGATTTTATTTCATACAGTACTTTAAATTTGAAGATCGCCATTGTGATGGTCTTCCGATGGGTTAATTTAGCTAGGCTATAGTTCCATTATTCCATCAAATACTAATCTAGGTGTTGCTATTAAGATATTTTGTAGATGTGATTAAAGTCTATAATCAGTCCACATTAACTAAAGACTAACCTAGATAATCTGGATGAACTGATTCAAGCAGTTTAAAGGCCCAAAGAGTAGAGCTGAGGTTTCCCTAAGAAACTCCATCTGTGGACAGCACCTTCAGTCTGTGCCTTAGAGTTCCAGTCTTCCCTTCCTGAAAGCCTGCCTTTCATATTTTGGACGTGCTAGCCAGACCTACAATCATGTAAGCTAATTCTCTGCAATAAATCTTAATCTCTTCTACTAGTTCTGCTTCTCTGGTTAAATCTTAACTGATATAGCCATGCAACTGTTATTTTCTTTTTTATATTAAATCTAATTAACTGTACCTTGATGTGAAGGTAGAAATGGCTCTATAAAGGTTCTCTTTATTATGGACGGATTGAGTGGGGCTCATTATTCTCATAGCAGATGTGAATATGGTTTTAATTCAACATGTTGCTTTATTATCTATTTTGCTGTAGCTTTCTTACCTTTTTGTGTCAGAAGGAAACATCAAATGTAGATTCAATAACAATCTGCTTTTGTAAATCAATCTTCTTTTGTGACTGTGACTTAAAACTTCATGTTTAACTGGCACAAAATTGAAACTCATATACAAATAATGTTTCCTATGGATTTGTAAGTGGAAATGCAGTATGAAATAATTTCATCAAAATAGAAGCAGACATTATCACTGCTTTGCCAAACTGACAATCTAATTTTAAATAATTCAGCAGAAAATTTTCATCACTTCCCTAGACATAATTTCTTAAAACTGTTTAACAGCTTTATAACTCTACTAACAGGTGCTGACTTTACTACTAGTTTTTTTTGTTTGTTTGTTTTTGAGATGGAGTCTTACTCTGTCACCCAGGTTGGAGTGCAATGCCTTGATCTCAGCTCACTGCAACCTCCACCTCCCAGGTTCAAGAGATTCTCCTGCCTCAGCCTCTCAAGCAGCTGGGATTACAGGTGCCCACCTCCACGCCTGGCTAATTTTTTGTATTGAGATGGGGTTTCACTATGTTGGCCAGGCTGGTCTTCAACTCCTGACCTCATGATCCACTCACTTCAGCCTCCCAAAGTGGTAGGAATACAGGCATGAGCCACCGTGCCTGGCCCTACACTACTAGTTTTTTTTTTACCATTTCATCTTGAACCACTCTGAGAACTCAAACTAGACTACAGTTATATGCACACAGGCCTTGAGAGCTAATTTGAAAATAACACCAAGGCAGCAGAATTTGAAGCTAAATTCAGCTTTTCATTATCCATGACAAACTTTTCTAAATGAGATGCAGTAGTCCTAAAAAAAAAAACAAAAAACAAAAAAAAAAAAAACTCCACTTTAGAAATGTTAAACATTTATTTATTTTCTTATCAGGAACTCTTTTCTTGGTTGCACAAAGAACCATATTTTTTGATATTTAAATACTAGAACCCATAATTCAAGGTGGTTTTCTTTTTCCCATATAGGTCAGTTACTATTGTAAAATTAATTAATTTTCATTACAAAGGTCTACTACCAACAGATATAACTTACCTCCAATAACAAACTTGTGCTTTGATATTTTTTATTTATTATAAAAACTGAGTTTTCAATGAAGGCAGTTTAGCAGGACTATAGTTTTGAAAATAAATCTGAACGTAGCCATTCTTTAAACTTAAAGTTATTGTAGAATAAAATGTCAAGCAAGTGAAAACTTTTCTGTGATATATACAGAAATGATATATATGTAAATATTTTCACATAAACAAAAACAAAGATCAAGAAAAAAATTAAGTATCTTTATGGGCAACAGAAATACACAGATTAAAAAGTTTTTTTTTAAATTTTACTTCAATGCTTCCATTGAACACAACTGGCAGAGCAATAGGAATTAGATAAATCTTTACATTTCTTCAGGGAATTACATGTAATAAAGACATCTCTCTAGAAGAAAATAAAATATTAGCATAATTAGACTCCTGAAAGTCGTGCCTTTCAATTAAGTCACTCTTTTTGCTCTACTGTAAAGCTATACACTTTATCAGAATTTTGCCAGTTGAGAGAAAATAAAGCTAACACTGCAAGATCCAGCACAAACACAGGTGGCAGCAAATTAGGCACAGTGATGTGTAGATTTTCCTCTCAATGTGGATTACCCATGCCTAGGAGATAATGGCTTGCAATGCAAAACAAACATTGTGGGATAAAACAGATGATATTCAAATAGATATAGTTTCTATAGGGATGTTTCCTAAAGTGTTTCCCAGGGACCACCTGAGCCAGTCAGGCAGAGTGCTCAAAAAACAAAAATGCACATTCCTGGACTCAACCACAGACCCTCTGGGGACCCAAAAATCTGGACTGTTAACAAGCTCCCTTTGGGATGCTTAAACACGTATTAAAGTTGAAATAACATTACTCCATACTATCTGGAATTTCTCTCGCATCTTTCTTTTGACCACAAATATTTTATTATCTTTTTTCATGCTTCTGACTATCCAGAAGGAAAAACAGGCAAGCTGAAAACCATTTCTGATTATGCCTGTCAGCAGTGAGAATTAGTAGTGGTATCTTTTCCCACCTCAAGAAAATATGGGGCAATAGACAACATATGATTTTGCACCTACATTTCTTTAAGGTGCTCCGTAGTACCTATTCTTTAAAGCTTTCAAAATGTATACATAATAAAAAATGTTCAAAACGGTTTGTAAACTCTCATCAGATCAAGATTATCCAGTGTAAAAAGAACTGCTGTTCAGTGTTGTTGCTGAATTCTCACAAAGACCCCTTCATAATCTTTGTTCACAAACAGGGAGCATCACAGCAGGCACTCCAGAGCTCTCACCAAATGAGGTACTGCCTATTAAGCAGCATGAAAGTACCTAGAGACTGCCCATAAAATAAGAACAAAGAAAACAAAGCTCAGTTTCAACTCCAGCCACAAAGGAGTCTTCATGACCTACCAATATGTAAGATGAATACAGATCATGCTGACTTTCCTCCGAGAAAGTCTAATCAAAAATGTCCTTATCGATATCTGCTTGAAATCCAGTTTATATTGAAAATGGAAAGCATAATACACTTCAACATGCTACTAGTATCTACTACAGTGCTTATGTCCTATAAATTCCCTATGAACAAAAATAATTTTACCTGTGAATAAAAATTAGAAATTAAAGAGGTAGGTGACTATCATTTGAAGATGATCCCAATAACAACATGTTGAATAATATGCTTGAGTCCCCAAAGAGCTATTTAGCTGGACAATGAGTTCCAATACCGTTACAATTTCCTTAAGAGCAGGGTTTCCCAGGTCTTTCGTGATGTCATCAATCTTTCAATACCCTAGCTCCTGATACGGTGCCACAAGCTCTTCAGACATTTAATATTAGAAATAGCTAATGAAGTAAAATGTAATGAAGTAATACTGGAGACCAAAGGGTGATGCTGAAGTCATCTAGGCTCTTCAAGTATCTATACCCTGGTATGGAGGAAAGCACATTTGACAGGACATTAGAGATTCATCTAATCCAATTCTCTGGTTTTACAAATGAAGAAATAGAAGCTTATTTTTTCCACTGGCTCACAAAGCACTAACATCCTGAAAAGATGCTATAAATCCATGGTTAACTTACCTAATTAGTCAATGATGTACCTAAGTGGCTATACTTTCAGCCCTTATCCCTGTAGGCTGTTTTATAAAGTGAGCCACTGGTAACAGAGAAGCTGACCAAGGCCCTAGATGCACCCTGGGGGCAGACTGTCAGCAAGAGAAAAATAATTTGAAATGCCATACATGCCCTATTAAAACTTGTTCTAGGCTCAGACCAGGTTCATTTTCCCTTCTTTGTAGGAAACAAACATCTGAGCACGTTCACAAACTCTAGCTCTGCTAGGGCAAGCACTGGGGCAACAATGCTATTCTGCCCAGAACACTTAGAACTAACACAAGTGGACAACTGGAAACCTCTAAACCCTCAGAGGCAAGACCTACACATAGCTATCTTTAATTTTTCAATAACTGTCAGTCACTTGTTTTGCAAATTAAAAAAAAAAAAAGTTAAAAAGTGGTTGTAGGCCAGGTATGGTGGCTCACGCCTGTAATACCAACACTTTGGGAGGCCAAGGCAGGCAGATCATTTGAGCTTAGGAGTCTGAGACCAGCCTGGGCAACAGGGCAAAACCTTGTCTCTACAAAAGAAAATGCAAAAAATTAGCTGGGTGTGGTGGCACACACCCGTGTGAGTGGTCACAGCTATTCAGGAGGCTGAGACAGAAGGATCACCTGAGCCTTGGAGGTTGAGGCTGCAGTGAGCCATGACCACACCACTGCATTCGGCAGAGTGAGACTCTGTCTCCAAAAAACAACAAAAAAAGTAGTTGTAAGTGATTTTTTTTTTCTATTTTCCAGTGTTTCTGTAATGCTTCCATATTTCTTTTGGTAATAAGAAAATAAAGGCTAATTTTTAAAAAGAATATTTTAGTCTAAAAATTAAAGGATGCATAGAATTCCCTCTATGAGACATCTAAATGAATGAAGCGTCTGCGTGGCACAGTGGAACAGTGCAGCCCTGGGATTCTAGAGGTTTTTGGATCTGAGCTCTACCACTAACCTTGGGCAGGATTTTAATTCCTCTGAGACCTGCTTTCTTCATATGTAAAAAAATAATAATACCTACATCACAACCTGTGAGGATAAAATGATGCACAGTTCCCGACACATAGTAGGTGCCCATAAATGTCAACCCCTTCTTCATATACTCCACAAAAACCCTTGGGTAAAAGGAATCACCATAGCCTGCACCAGCACCCACCATCCCTCTCACTACATTCCCCTTTTAAATTTGCAAGAATGCCATCTCCTCAATTTCTCCCTGTTGCTCTGAAGAGTTGCTATGGTGCTTAGAAAACTGTCTACATTTTACATTCTCTCTTTTACAGCTGTACATGCAGATAAAACATTTATTAAACTATCTTCCCATAAATGGTAATGCACGTTTCCTAAAGCACATGTATAGAAACAATTCTGAAAAATAAGACTGAATTAATTTGTACATTGTCTCTTAAAGTGCACCAAAGTAAATAGTAATGATCTTTCAAATGTCACTAACCTTCTTGGGTTAGTTTTTAAAATAAAACTAAATATATATTGATGGAGGCATATGGCTCCAATGTGATGGCAAAATGCAGCAGTGTCTTCCAGAATAAAAAAGTATTGATAAACTCAACTAAGCATACCTTAGCAGCATACAAAATGCCTACAATTCAATGTAACTGCAGGCTCAATAAAGCACAATCCTGATTCTTACTATGAAAATAAATCAATCAAGGAAAAACTCCAAAACCAAAGAACCATCTCCTCAGCCTAAATTGAGGGTTTCTATTGAAACCTGGAGGTAATATTTGTAATCACTTTCCTATTGTTTATTCTTGGTAACAACTATAATTACCATTCTTTCTTTACACTGCTCACACACATACATATAAAAACCCTATAAAAAAAAACAATAAAGTGGAGAAGGTATGCGAAAGAAAATTCAATGTCAATAATGAACAACCATCACCCAAAATGTGAGTCAGTTCCAATATTCACACCACTGTCCGATGTTCCCCACACACGTAGACAGCACTGGGACGTATCCGTCGCCTTGTGTGACCAGGGAGCTGAGGCAAAAACTTGAAGGACTTAGGCATCATGTCCAGGCAAGCATCATGGAATTTCTTAATCCTCCAGTAGTAGATCAGTGGATTCAATGCAGACTTGAGGTAGCAGAGCCAGAGTAGCCCGGTGCTAATCTCAAAAAAGTTGTGCTGATAGTAAAAGTGCTCACTGAATGTTGCCACAAGGCTGTAAGTGGTGAACGGGGCCCAGCAGACAATGAAGACAGCAAAGAGAATCAAAATAGTGGTGAAGGCACGTGTTTTAAAGCCCATGTCAATGCTCATCTGGAAAGGTCTCTGTAGACTCATAAGACCCAGTTTGCTGGCCTGGCTGAGGCATATACCTTCAGGGTAGCTATGGATTCTCAAGGCATTGTGCCGAAGGGTGTTGAGTATGCCCATAAATGAATACAGTATTACCAGGAAAGGTATGAAGAAAGAAATGAGAGAAATCAAAATCACATAAGCCTGGTAACCTGGATTGGTTGTGTATCCAAACACACACTGGGGAGCTCGGGAAGGTATCTGCAGGTCGGGGTTTCCTATAGCTAAAGGAAAAGCTACACAAAAGGAAGTTGCCCAAGAAACTGCAATCAGAACCTTAGCTCTATAAGGGTTTAGCTTATCCTGCCTCTGGACTATAATAAGGAATCTATCTATGCTAATGATGAGCAGGATCGCTACTCCTTCTATCACAAATAACCAGAAAAACATAGCAGATACCCTACAGAAGAATTTCCCAAAAATCCATCGGGTAGTAAGAATAGTCACCAGGGCAAAAGGCATGTTAAGCACTGCAAGCAGCATGTCTGCAAAAGCCAGGCTGGCAAGGAGGATGTTAATTGCAGATCTCATGGCAGCTTTTTGGTAAACCATGAGGCAAACAACCAAGTTCCCAAGAAAAGACACAAACAAAATGAAAATCATTATAGCAGAAAGGGTGATCTGAAGAGGCAAGTTTAGGCTCTTAAATGCTGCTGGTGGTGTGGGCACAGCTGTATTATTCACTGTCAAGGAACTCAAACCAGTGGGAGCCATGGTTTCAAAACTATATCTAAGCAGCGGACTGATGTCAGGATGCTGGAATGGTGGAGGAAGTGTAATATTCGTGTAGGTGTTTTCATAGACTACAAATGTTGTGTTGGATGTCCCGGTATGGAACGCAGTCAACACTGCTGAGAAGACCATGGTTTCAGTAGGATGGAAGATGCTAGCAGAGATGCAGGTGTTCTTCAAGCATTTCAACACAGAACAGCAGTATCAGGTTCCATTAATGGGCTTGGAAATACATTCTGGAAAATGGACAATGAGTTCCATCTTCCACAAGAGTCCTTTTGCCTGAAAACAAAACCAAAACATAAAAAGTAAATGAGAAATGATATTTGTAAATAACATTTAACTTCAGGGATGCCTTTCATCATGAAGGATCAGTTTTGCTCTTTTTGACCCTTTAAAAATATGTTAACCTCCAGTGTAGTCAACACTAAAATATTGTTCTGTTACTTTATCTTTAGCCAACTATGGTGGAAATTTCATGACATTCATACATAAAGCAAAAGTGCAAGGAATCTCAAAATGTGTTACTGCCCCAAAGACCGAAGTTATAATCTTACTGTTAATTTTAAAAATATATCCAGTGGTTTTCACTTTAATGAAATGTTAATTTTAATTTTCATGGCTTTTCTATAGTTACTGTTAATACAGATTTTTTTTTTACCTGGTTCTCCTGAGAGAACTATTTTTTTTTTAATTAATAGTTCTTTGGTACAGGTTCTTACTCTATTTTTACATTAGCACTAAACTGGATGGCAAAGAAACCTAAAGCAGGTTTCCTACTTCACACATAACAATTACACACTTACATTCTAACAACCTTATAAGTAAGTACTAGGTAATTATCAATGAAGGTCTGAAACATTTTCTTGGCTTGCTGTCTACTTATTTATTTATCCATTAATTCACCTATTTTTTCATTTTTAGATTTTGAATTAAAAAATCATTCATTTTTAATTTCTTACTAGAAGCTCCACCACCAATCATACTGGAGAAGTTACTCAAGTGGAGAAGAAAAATTATAAGTAAGAAGTCTTGGTCATATTTTCAAAAGTTCTATTTTTCTAAAGCTCTCTTTGCTTCTCATGTCTTCTCTCCCAAGTCCACCGACTTTCATCCTTTCTTTTCTGATATGTACACATGTATCTTCTGTATTTTCTTCTCCCTAAAAAAACCAATCTTATTTTGTGTTAGCAACTTGATCAGAATATGTCAAGCAAATAACAAAGATGAAGATGTTAAAGGAGAAATGACTAGAAAAATGTTCAGGTATGAAGAATCTATTTGAGAAAACTTAGAAACGTATTTAGTTAGCTTGCTCCAAAAAGTTTCTTATCACATTTCTCTTGTCCTAACCTCCAATTTCTTACTCATGTATCTGCAATTCTTGAGTTTTCTGTAAGGGACTTTGTTAATCTGCTGTTTTATTCACACATTTTGTGGTATGGGTTTTTCCTTCAGTAGGTCTTTACTGGAGAGGTAACCTCTTTATGGTTAGAAAGAGGTCTCTGGATTTCTGCCTAGATTCCTTTAATAAGCTCTTTAAAGACTGGGGGGAAGAAAGTAAATGCACAGAAGTTTAAAACAAAATTGCAATTTACTCATGATTTTGACTTAGAATTAGTCATTGGTTTTAAGGGTCATTGTCAAAATTTCATTCATTCATTTACGGGTGCATATGGGTAGGGATATCACATTTGTAAGACCCAAGATCCAGCAATGCAGCCAAATCAGGGACTCCCTACCATACCTATATCTCTACAGTCCCAACTTTTTTGTCCAGGGCTGCCTTTATAAAAAGAAGAATCCTTATCTATTCATTCAAAATATCAACTTTATTACTTACTTTCAATTTTACAGTTTAATTTATTTGCCCTTACTAGATTTTATCTGTCCTTACATATTCAATTTGCAGCAGCTTAGTGTGGCATCTTATTAACCACAAAGGTGCCAAGGGGAAGAGAGAAGTGGTGGTTGGAAGATTACACCATAATCACCATCAGCCTCTACAGAAGTACCCTAAATGTAGATATAATTAAGAATAAAGACTGTGCTTAATTATAAATTAACCTCAATACAAGTCTACCTCTAGAGAAAAATTATAAACAGACAAATGTGTATCTTAAGCCTAATGTGACAGTTAAAATTGTGTTTGACCAAGTAAACAAACATATACCCATCCTGCACTATGACACAGTTTAAAATATTTCATTTCCTTGACCATGTTGAGGAACAAAACAAAAAATAGAATGAAGCCAAAGTAAAATCATAATTTAAAAGATGGCTTTTAACTTGTTACATCTGCATAGTCGCAATTATCTTTCTACCATCAAAGCCTCCCACAACTATAAAAACTTCTAACAATTCATTCAATATTTCATCAAATATTTATTTAAGAACCTACTCTGTGCCAGGTACTAAATAGAAAATGGCGAGCAAATAAATGGTTTCTAAATTTCTGGTTAAAAATGCAGACTGCCACAGAACAATTTATTCTCAATACTTTCAGGGAAATGGGCTTTGAAGAAACTGAAACAATCCTGTAGATCCCTAGAGAATCTCTGGATGCCAGTTACCACAGAAAGTATAGATAGAGCTGAAAACTGGAAAACTGGCTGAAAACCGGAGCCACTGGAACCCCACTCCACCCATAGTTCTCCTCCTTTCTGAACAACCATGTGAAGGCACGTACCTCCATTTCAGTAGCCCAACTCTGTGGCTCAACTGAACTTGAGAAGCACTACACTCAAAAATATCAGTGCAAGGCTGAAAACAGAGGGTTGAGCAAGTGCATATTTAATTTGAGAACCTAGCTCCTTTTGTCATCCTGCTCTTAGACTGCCAGAAGCCAGGCACATGTTGCCCATGCAGAAGACTGAAGAGCTGTGACTAAACAGCCACAGAGAAAAAAACCTCTAGATACTAACATCTGAGGTTTTCCAATCACCTTGTATATGGAAGCCCACCCACTGTCAAACCAGCCCACGAACACAGAGATTCTAATCAACTTTTCAGTGCCTAATAAATATAAATGATCAATTTCTCTAAGAAATAGTTTAACAAAAAGATTAAACAAAAACATTTTTGTAAATATTATGGAAAGTGGAGGTTATAGTATTCTCTTGGTCCTCTTTCCTTAGTTTTACCTGCCTCTGGAGTGCTTTATTTTATTTTTTTGAGACAGGATCTCACTCTGTCACCCAGGCTGGAGTGCAGTGGCACAATCACAGCTCACTGCAGCCTCAACCTCTCAAGCTCAGGTGGTTCTTGGAGTGTTTTCAATACTTGTTTTATTCTCTGCAAAGACTTTATTCTCCTAGAAGGCAGCCATTGATTTTATTAATCCCATTGTTCCCTACAACCACTATGCTTTGCACATAGTCCAATAAATATTTGATAAATTCATTTGCATTATGTTTTGTGGGATCAATTTTTTGTTTACCTATTTTAATATTCATGAAATATGCACATAATTTTAAAAATAATTAGATAAGTTTTAAGGTGATCATCAAACCCTGTCCCAACCTTCACTACCTCATTCCTGTTTTTAGAGGTAATCATTCTTAATTATTTTAAAAGCTTTTTTCATATATTTATTCTTTATACATCTAAATAGAAGAAACCACTTTTTGGTTTACCAATTATAGATATTAACTCCTGATTTCCTGTAAGCACAAATGTAGAGTTAGCTGTCACAGCATTTCCCAACTTATTTCTCTTCCCTTTGTACTATCAAAATCTTTATTTGAAAATTTTGAATTACAGTAGTGTTTGTATTAATGTAGTTATGTAAATAGTATATTTACTGATCAACAGAATATTTTCCTTTCTTAACTTTTAGAAATCCTAAAATTAACAATTCACTTATGTATTTATTCTCCATTTTTTTTGTTTTGTTTTGGCTGTTTGAATGTTTTTGTAAAGTTTTTTGTTCAAGTCCTTTGCTAACCTTTCAGCTGAGTTGTTTATCTTTTTCTTATAAATTTGTTGGCATTTAAATATATATATATATATACACACACACACACACACACACACATACATATTTTTCTCAAAGAAGCGGCTGTGTAATTTTTAAGTAACAGAGGTTTATTTTGGCTTACAATTCTGCAGGCTATGTGAGAAGTATGGTGCCAGCATCTGCTCCTGATGAGGTTTCAGGAAGCTCAAAATCATGGTGGAAGGGGAAAGGTGAGAGCAGGAACAAGAGAGTGAGAGGGGTTGGTGCCACACCCTTTTAAAAAACCAGATCTTGTGTAACTCAGAGCAAAAACTCACTCACTGTTGGGAGGACAGTGTCAAGACATTCTGAGGGATCTGCCCCATGACTCAAATATCTCTCATCAGCCCCAAACCTCCAACATCGGGGATTACATTTCCACATGAAATTTGAAGGAGACAAACATCCAAACCACATCAGTATCATATTCTATGGTATGGATTCTATTCTGATTCTTTTCAGAGCAGGAATTTATGGAAATTACATGATTAATGAACTTTGGGCTCAGTTCCAACTCCCACTCATCCCAGAACTCATGCCATGGTTATTGTACCAGTTTTGAAATGCAGAGTTAGAACAGACAAACTTAGCAGATTCCCTCACTGCTTCTCTAACCTGTGGAGCAAGGGCTATAATGGTAGGAAAGGCTGACTGCAAACCCCTAGAACAATCTATTTCTACCTATGAAAACAGTAAATCAAAAGCAACATTTTATTCCTGTAGAGATAACAAAGATTAGAGTTACCATCAAGGACTTGGAAGATGAAAGTGATAATTTCTGCCATATCTCTATTCAAGTTGCCTCTTTGGCTTTGTAGAAAACAATGCATTTTAAAGAGTGCAGATGCTGTACCAGATGTGGTTTTACTGATGGAGCAAATCAATCTGCTGGCAATTTGCTGGCATCTGGTACATGGCTATTGATCTGTCAAATTCTGGTTTTCTCTATATGTGTTAGCAAAGACTACTTGAAGCATTTGCTTACACTACTATCCTACCTCAGGGATCTGTCAAGTCTTTAGCACACTACCATAATCTAATCCACAGGGACCTTGGTTGTACTTCTATTCCACAGAATGTCATGCTGTCCATTACATGCTGACTACACAGTCTACAGATTCTGCAGGGCCTGGCTCAAGCTTCTCAGGGCAGAGACTTCCCACCAGCCCCGGTCCCAGACCAATCCTCTAAAATGCTGTGCTCACTGCATACGCTCTAAAGGTTGGCCTTAATTCCACTGATCCCAGGATGCTGGGAAGAATCGAGTGGCACCACTTTGAAAAAA